ACATTAATTTTCATATTTCATGCTTAACTCGTTGAGTACCGTCATTATAGACACAATAAAGAACAATAGGTTGCGGTCACCGGTGACCGCTCGGTGTTTGACAGTTTAAAAAACCTTTATATTGTTTGAAAATTTGTAGTACTTTACAGTGCACATGTAGAAATGAAAATATCTTACCTATCAATTAATTTCTTCAGCTTTGTATGTGAAGTATACATTTAAATACAGTTTTTCCTCCTCAATTATAAGAAGATTCTTAACTGTCAAAGGTATAGTTACTGCATAGTAATTTAAAGTATTTAGTTCATGATCATTATGTATTCCTGTTTAGATCTGTATAAGGTAATGAGAATTTACATTAATTACCTTGTAGGCAAGTATGTAGTGATGATCTTCGAACTTAATTTAAAGACTTAATAGTTAGAAGGTGACATGATTGATTAATTGAGTATTGAAATCTATAAATTATAGGGCAAATCCATTATCATACCTTTTATGCTGGATATTTATTGGTTAGGTCTAGGTCTTAGACACATTTTTGTGTTTAGAGGATTAATGATCTGGTGGAATAGTATTGCATTGCAATCGATAACTAATATAGCGAAATTATATTTTTTTGTGTTAGTTCAATTGACATAAACAATTCTGTATTATAACATTCGTGAGACATACTAAATAAATTATTATGTTTTCGGCTTACTCACATAATTATTTGAGGAGGAAGTCGACTAGTTTCAAGCCATCTAGCATGGCTTGAAACCAGTCGAGTTCAGGCCAGTAGCAGCGCGACAGCCGCCGCGTCGCGGGTCGCGAAATGCTGCTCATGAATATGAGCCTCTAGCATGGCTTGAAACTAGTCGAGTTCCTCGTCAAATAATTACGTGAGTAAGCCGAACACATAATAATTTATAAACAATCTTATATCAAAGTACACACAATAAGAGGCAACCAATTTACAATGAACAACCAAAACAACGAAATCTAAAACTTTCGTTCGTTCATTTAAATACCCAAAGGTTCTACTCAATGATACGGAAATAAAATAAAACTTTGAGTAGGTAGTCAACAGTTGTTTACAATGTATACAGGTTGTTGCCGGAACTCACACACACACTAATAAGCAATTTGTAATTATAATTACCTTTATATTACGTACAGGTTAACAGAGGTCATTGAATTCTGTCTATAGATATAATACAAATTACAAACTAGAGGTCGCTAGAGGAATTAGACTAACTATTATTGGGTTTCAGGTTTCAAAGTTTTCATGAAATATAATAATCCAAGCACTAGGTAATATAATAATCTGATAGGTAAAAGTATTTCTTTTATCATAATAGTTTCTTGTACATTGCATGTATTGTTTTGTTGAGGAATCCGATTACTTCAATAAAAACTTTGCTATAAAATATTACACCGATGATGATAATAAACTCCACAACAAATAAGCGCCTTAACATTTTCCAAGAGCAAAGCGGATTATGGATACTACGGTTCAATACAAAATGAAGAATGCAAAATGAAAATTCATTTTTCCTCTATAACAGCTACATACAATTTATTCCAGAATCTTGATACAAGTAATTTTATTCATATATATCACTACAAAAGTACAGCCACTCGAAATACTAAACAAATACCAATATGGGAAGGGACATAAATTATGATGCCCAATATTTATGATCAATAACGTGGGCTCCTGGTTCAATAACCCCGAAAATGTGCTGCAATTAAGATAATAGAAAATATCAGACCAAACCCATTCATCAATTAGTATTCCTTTCTATCCTAAAACGATCCTAATATCCGCATTACGGCCAAAATCAGGGATGGCCCTTACGCCTCTCGCCTCATGGGTCATTAACGTCCAACGGCGGTCTATAAAGAACTCTATACAAAAGGGGGATTAGCGCCAATACTCCTGCCGGCTCCCTTAGTAATTATCCTTGAAGATACGCTTTATTAGGACGTAAAAGCCCTCAAGAGGAGTACAATGCATCTCTCAGAAGGTTTTGTGTGGTGATTGCGATCGAAGTTCTTGGTGGATAATAAAGTGGTTTCAAGGATAGTCTCGTTTTATTGCCTGCATTACTCATTGTCTGGGAAGATCTGGCTTTGCATACAGCCACTAACTGTATCTATATTACTTCGAGTTTTATAGCTTTCAACACTAGTTGTGGTGAATAGGCGTGCTTAGATACGACAGTGTTTAATTATAAGCTATTTATTTAGAAATTGAGAACTATATAAGAAATAGGGGCCGTAATACTAATAAGCGGATATTTATATTCGTAGTTCCCACAAACCCATGGTCCTGATATAGGTGTTTATGCTAAGCAGAGCCTGCAGATGACGCCGCACAACTATTTACATCCCATGGCATTGACACTTGGGGAGTTGAAATAAAATGGTACATAAATCTTCTCTGCTATCTCCTTTGATGTACGATCCGAGCCTATTTTCATAATACGATAAAAATCTCACTCTTTTTCAAGGTTCACTGCACTAGCGATGGGTTTATTTTAATTTTGTAGGTTCTTTTCCATAAACAGTATTTTTCACGTGGTTTTTCTCAAACGTTAAATGACTTTCAGTGTACGAAATCAATGCGATAATTAAATTAATGAAATGATATATTCAAAAACATTTATGTCTGTGTACATTTTTAGTTGTCCCATTTCAAGTAATAAGAACAAAAGTATAACTCATATTTTTGTAACAGTACAACAAACAATAATTTGTTAAACTAGTCTTCGGGTAATGACATCGGAAGTTTCAATAAGTTTTATGTTATTTGTCAGTCATAAAGTTATTTGTCTTGTATAGTTCCGTGGCTACTCGGCATTTGCTCAATGTCTAACCATCAAAATAGTTATGAATAGAATAACTTTTCTCACGGAAGAAAATAAAATTAACAGCCCGTAAACAAAAGAAATTATTTACAGATTAACGAACTAACTATTCTAAGTTAGTAAAATCTCGAATTCGAAAATGTTCGTGTTGATTCAATTAAAAAAGCGGAGAGAATACAGCCATAACACACTAACTAAAACCAACGGAAAGTAAAAGAAAAGCCCAAAATATCTCAAAAAAATAATTTAATAAAGATTCACACCAATTTTACACATCTCTTGCTTTCAAAGACCAACTTTTGTGGTGTTAATGATGATGCACTGCGATGATTGGAGAGTGCCTGACGACTGGTACGACAGGGGCTGCATGTACGACAGGCGCGTGTACCACTGGGGCGTGTACGATGGGAGCCGGGTGTACCACTGCGCTGTGGGACACCGTGTGGACAGGGGCCACGACATGATGGGCCACTACTGGGTGAGCTGGTACTACGGGAGCGATGACCCCAGCATGGGCAATCGCGATGAAGGCGAAGAGAATGGCCTGAAATGAAAAAAGAAGTTTTCATAACATGCATATTGCAGTGTTTGGGTGACCTGTAAGCCAAAACTCTTGCTTAGTAGTCGCACTGGCGACCATTAGACCAAAAGTGCAATAAAACAATTGTATTCAGAGTCATTTCATAGTTACTTCAACTCAGTAATTAGCAATTTTTCCAGAACATTGTCGTTATTATGAAATAGTTTAGGCAATTATTGAAAGACTCCTGTCTACGGTAATAAGACATGTGTCAGATTTAACGAATAATTACTAAGCCTATTAAAATTACTACGCAATCGTTTAATATATTGTGTATTGTGGACCTCACTGAAAAAGGACCACTTTGGTCCTTTTGATGAAAAGGTTTTCAACTATTTTGACCTGCAATATTTCAAAGGTTTATTGACCGATCCATTTCGTGTTCTGTTTCTGTTCAGTCAATTTCAAACTGAATAAAATATCAATAGATAAGCTTTTACACAAACTATTGTTGATTCAGAACCTTCGCTATTATTATTTACTATCCGGTAATTTTCAGGCAGTTCAACGGGTTCATGAAACTACGGATATAAATAGATGGTGAAATATAAAACTTTCATACCAGGTTACGTTGCGAGAATTCCATTGATTATCTATGTATTTAAGTTAAATTATTTGGTGTTTAAATAATACGCAGATGGCTTAATTGGGTTCATTTCTGGAAAATGTGTTGTTGATATTAAAAGACGTAGTCAATATTAAATATATGTATATAGAACCTACCGATCTAGGTATATTAAACGTGAAAAATTATAATTTTTATTGCATTACATAAATTATTTGATATTTAAATGATAATTGTTATTTTAATTTAAATCATAATTGAATTAGACATAATAGAACGGCGGTGTCCAAATTGCTGATTTTAAAGTAAAAATCAATCTTCTATGGTGTTGAATACATGGGTAAAAATTATCTAGTGATCTACAATTAATAAATGAATTTGAATTTGAAACTTCTCTATTGATACCAAATTATTAGTTGCAAAAGTAATTCATAAATTTGAGATAAATTAATTTTAAGGATGAAATAAAGAAAAGGGTATTTCATTAAAATATAATGTGCAAATTAACTTTAAAAATCAGAATCGATGTAGCTAACTCATATAAATATACATAATCAAGACATACATCAAAATTCACAATAATCAAATTCAACACTTTAGGTCGTAATAAATTATTAACTTAAACTAATAATATAAATTAAAACAAATAAACTTACCAACTTAAACATTTTGCAGTAGAATGTGTGTTTGTGTGTTAATCCGTCGATACTGTTCGACTGTGTACCTAGATCACCTAGGTTTAGTCCTTTTATAGTGCTAAGGCCTACGGTCTAGGCTATATGCATCTACTGCAATAAATCCTGACGTTTGGCAATATGCAACTTGAACGCACTACTGTTCTATACTCGGTTTATTACGCAGTGGCCTACAATATTATTACTGAAAATTTAACACATTTTGTTTTTGTATCAGTACTGAAACATGTTTAATTTTACAAAATTTCTGAAAATATAGACAATTATTATACAAATACCATGAGGATCCGTATCGGCGTCAGCCCTACTGGGCCCCATCTGTGGTGGGTGTTCTTTTTTTTTAAAAACATAGCCCCTCACTAGGATTTTCTCCTGTGTCGTGGCTGCATTTACAAACATACAAGTTCACATACACATGACACCCAGCCCCGGAACAACAATCTGTGGATCACACAAGTAGTTGTTCCGTGCGGGAATCGAACCCGCGACACTTTGCGCGGCAGTCAGTTGCCCAACCACCGCGCCAACCATGCAGTCAGACACGACAAGACTTTTAGTGACAAGTTTTTAAAAAGCCGTAATTATAATATTTTGTTCGGCTCGAGAATTTAACTCAAAAGTCTTTGCTAGCACTAGTGACCATTCGACATTTTGTATCTGTTATTTTAATCGTGCTTAACGAAAGTAAGAAAGGTATTTCCTCCTAACAACTGTTTATTTTGTTGATAAAAGAAATTTAAAAAGCGTAGCTTTACCGAAGGCGTAACTTGCAAAGATTTATGTTCGAGCGGATCAGTGAACTGTGTGAGATATTATCAAACATTTAGGGGTGTAGTCAAATGTAATACGGATTCCGGAACCCTATGTCTTAACCGTTTAAAATAGATTTGTAGACTTCCCTTTTTTACTACCGAAACGTCACTAAACCTGTGAAAGAATATCATTTAAGAATATGCCATACAAGAGATTTTCATTAAAAAATTGAAATAAAACAAGATTATCTCTTTTCACCACGCTACGATTAATAGGAGCCGAGCAGAGCGGGTGAACCGCGCGCAAGTAGATAATAAATAAATATATCCATTTGAATTAAAGAAATAGAACGTGTTAAAAGGTTCCTTAGAGCACCTTCTCTCATCTCTCATGATTGCCAATTTGAATTACAAATGAACTGTTCTCGGTATTTAGACAAAGTTCTATCCACAGCTTCAAATTTGTGTTCAATGGTACGTGTGACCCTTACCAGAACCTTCTCGAATTAAACACCCTTTGTGGATCGGTTGACATAGATATAATTTGTGATATTATTACTAAATTAACAGTGCTTCTTAATTTGTTTGATTTGTGTTTACAATATGTAATTTATCAAATTTTCTTTGAATTTGAAATGCTTTCATTTTGGTATTTATATTCTTTTCCAATAAGTTTAGGAACTAAAAATAATATATTTCTCGGAAATATATATGTACACAGTATGTACAGTTAGACCTAATAATAATTGAAAGAAAATAGGTTGAAGTAACCTTACATTTCTTAGAAATAGACTAGAAACGAAATTGCTACCACTATCTCGCCTGGTGGTAAGTGATGATGCGGTCTCCGATGGAGCACGTCATCCCATAAGCAACCTATTCACTCGGGTCTTAAAGACTTCCAGGTTATATATACCCTTCAGGAAATACAGACTCTAGAAAGAATTCCATTTTTTAGCAGTACGAATAAGGATGCGAAGAGCTTCGTGCGTATACTACCCTTTTAACATTGCCCCGCACTAGGATTTTCTCCTGTGTCGTGGGTGCGTTTACAAAAATACAATTTCACATACACATGACGCCCAGACCCGAAACAACAATTTGTGGACCACACTAAGTGTTGTTCCGTGCGGGAATCGAACCCGCGGCACGCTGCACGCCAGCCGGTGGCCCAGCCATCGCACCTACCGTGCAGTCCTCTCTCTCTCTCTCTCACTCCTCACTCTCTCGGTTGACAAGCGCTTCAGTGGAATTCGGCTAGGGCCACTGAAGAGAAACTAGAAAAAACCAACGTCGAATAAGTTAGTAAGTAACAATTTCACTAATTGTAGGAGTTCTCATTAAAAGTTAGACCTCAGCAAGAAATGTTTTTGAGAAAAATGTAAGCATTGTTTCTGCCATCTGGTTTCCATCCACCTCCAGAGAATTAAGATTCATTGCTTAATTAAGATGAGCCTCCTTCCTAATGGATTATTATTTCCTAAGAAAAACGTTATTGAATTCTTTCCTAGTCGCTTCTTAATGTTTGTTTTACGTACACTTTTAAATAATTGTAAGAAAAGTGCGGTTAAAGAAAATTATCCTTGAATGAGAATTGTGAACTTTAATTTTATTGAAAAAGTTTTGGTGACTATTTCTGGAAATGGCTTTTACAATTTCTTTTTCAATGACTTAAGTAATATCTAGGACATTGACCTTCAAATAGAGATTTTTTTTTAAGGGGGAGAATCATCGAATGACTGCTCCCGCCTGGGTGAGGCGGAAGGGAGTGTCAGACTCTTACTGACTAAAAACCACCCCGTTCCTTCTCCTCCACGTCGAGCCGGAGCCCCGGTTACCCGTTAGGTTCTCCGCGACTCAAATAGAGACTTGGTTTTATAATTCACCTGTTTTGTTATGTCGGTTAACAGTGGCCATTTTACAGTAAGTGTAGTATAAATATACAATACTTGAAGTAAGTAACGATGTATTGCGTTGTCGCCGATCCAGTCGCGATATTGTTATAGAAGCAGTAATTGAAATAGATGAAGCGACGATACTTAAAGTTATTGAATAAAAAGCCTTTAGTGTCTAGTACTTTTAGTGCATACCCATATAATACCCATGATCTTTTTGAGATCATAGAATCAGGCTTTTTTTCAATTGACTCTTTGACTGCTAGCAGAAATGGTTGAACGTAAATTCTCCGAAAGCGCTTGTAACTATCGCTGATACGTATGTAATCAATGTAAAAAATTAATTGGTTAAATAATTACGAAAATTACAATTATTAGTCAGTTATCAATAATTTGGTAAAAAATAAAAACGACAGACGGTTTAATTTTTTTTAAATAGCTATCTAACGTGTACCGTCCAGACTTTAATAGGAATACTTTCAGCTTCGAGAGCACTTAAATACATCGCGACTTATTGCTTAATATTAATATAAATTTTAAAAGAAACTTGAAGATGTTTCTTTAAAAAACTTAAATTGTATGAAAGTTTAAAATCATTTCACATTATTTAGTAACATTGTTCTTGACTGCTTTAGTGGTTCAATCTTAAAACGTTTAATGTTCTATTTTAAACAAAAGGGATTTATTAATATAAAATATTTCCTTTATTTATTCGTTTCAATGAAAACAGATATTGTTAGATATTTAGTACTGTTGGCAAAAAGATTATACCTACTACAAAATTCATTGCACACATCCCTTCTCGGCATGTGGCTATTTATAAGCAACAACTGTTTAATCGCATAGACAAATGTATTTTTTATTATTTTTTTTTAATAAAAAAATGTTGCCCCTTACTAGGATTTTCTCCTGTGTCGTGTGTGCGTTTACAAACATACAAGTTCACATACACATGGCACCCAGACCCGGAACCCTGTGGATCAAACAAAGAATTGTTCTGTGTGGGAATCGAACTCGCGACACGTTGCGCGGCAGCCAGTTGCCTAACCACCGCGCCAATCGTGCAGTCAAATGTAATATAGTATGTAACCGTAGTTTTTCTTTCTCCTAACACAAAGCAAAAACTGTATAAAACTCCACCATAAAGACTCTATCTTTACACTGCAATACAGAACCGATGATACAGTTATCGCCCACGCCACCACGAATCCATTTCCGTCTTATTGTACACACTCACACATCAAGTCATACAACACCAGTATAAATAGACCCTTGAATATGCGGAAAGATCACACAGAGCGAGATCATGATAAACTGGAAATGTAGTTCATTGTGGCGGATATTTTTACACCTTATATCTCGTTTCCTAGTGCTAGAAATATCTGTAACATGATTCACCTGACTTTTAACAGTGAATATCGTAGAATACCTAAAAATGATGCTCGTTTTCACGTATGAAGATATTTTGAATAAGTTTTCTTGCGTATCTTGTATGGCAAAATTACATTTCTACGTGCTGTGCTACAAATGATGGATCGACCAAAGTGATACTATCACAGAAAACACAATACAACAGTAAAATATAACACTTGCGTTGTGTTTCGCCGTGTGAGTGAAGTGATTGGATGATAAAGTGTGGGAGAGCCATGCTTCGGCACGAACGGGCCAGCTCGACAGGAGTGATACCACGGCCGCACAGAAAACCGACGTGAAGCAACGCTTGCGTTGTGTTTCGTCGTGTGAGTGAGGTTACCGAAGGCTCAATTACCCTCCCCTTCCCCAATCTCCCCAATCCCTGAATTCCCAACGATCCTCAAAATCATAATCCCCAAAAGACCGGTAACGCACTTGTAACGCTTTTGGTGTTCCAGGTGTCCATGGGCGACGTCGATTGCTTACCATCAGGTGATCCGTCTGCTCGTATACCGGCTTATGCTATAAAAAAATGTCCAACCAGCCCCGTAAGGCCGGTAACGCCTTTTATAGATCGTGACTTTTTCATATGTTTTCTACTGTATAAAACTTACCTTATTTATTTTACTGTTTCATGAAACAGGGTGTACAAACAAAAAAAAATTCGTATCTACACCTACATAATAATTATACATTAAAATTAAACAGTTCCCAGTACTTAGTGGTTCATTCCCCTTATGGTGAACTATCGAGTCAGAGTAATAGCCTTCGAAACTTATCTTAATTACAGCTTTGTTACTGACAGGATAAAATAACGAGTTCAGGGAAGTTTTAAAGGTAAATCATTAGCTTGAACTCGACAATCTTCTAGGGAACGAATAAATATCCTTCATTTAAACTTACACCGACCAACAAATGTGTAATCTAATGCATGTTGTTGGTGGAATTTGTACGTTGTTGGTATGGGTTTGTGTTGATTATCATTTGTTTTATGTCTTTTTAAAGAAACTTAGCGCTTTTTTCAATGAGCTTAGAATTATTTATTAGTCAAAACAAACATTAAATTAAGTTCATCAATTGTTATATCATAAAATATAATACTTTGAGAAACGAAATCAAAAGGGATTTCTAGATTCCAAACGTCACGGTTTTATTAGTGACCAAGATTTATTCACGTGCCACCAATTCAGAGCGACTTCATAACAAAATATATTTGTACAAGTCCACAACAGACCGGCTCCAATATTGCCAATAAACGTTCTGCCCTAAATATTATTTGTTCCGTTTAGTGCTGTGGTAGATACCACAATATTACATTAACAGATACTTACTAAGGAAATTCATGAGTTAAGTCTACCTTTACTAAATTATATTACGAATTTATTTTCGAGCATGAATGAATATATAGGTACCGTCGCGTCATCTGCAGAAATTACGATTCAAACTTGCCTTAAACTGTCAAACACCAAGCGGTCACCAGTGACCGCAACCTATTGTTCTTTAATTGTGTCTATAAATGCGGTACTCGACGAGTTAAGGTTGGTTTTTAGAATTGACCATGCATGACAAAAGTGTGCGTGTGTTAATGTAAAACATTGATACCTGGTATCCATTATGTATCATTTGTTTGAAAATTATAAACTAATTTGAACTAAAAATCATTTGCAGGATTATCTTATATCATATAATTGTTTAAACGAAAACAAACATACACAATGAAAACATTTATTTAATAAAATCCATGATAATGTGACTTAACATGGTATTTGACAACTGGTTGTTGCACAAGTGGCTGTTGCACAATCGGTATGGGATGCACAGCATGTCCCATGGGCACGGCATACATGCCATGCATAGACATCACTTGTGGTACCTTCTGCACCAGGGCACCATGATGCATGGGGTAGGGCTGCGTGTGGTACGATGTGTGATAGGACATGTCGTACACTGGTGTCGCCGCCGCGATGGCTAGGGTTGCAAAAATCTGGAAAATAGAAGCTCTTTTGTATTATTGTATCCTGGTACTTTTATCTCGAGATATGGATGTTGAAAGATGTACACATACACTACTTCGTTGCCCTATAGTCGAGCTATGCGGCTCGGGTTTAATTTCCAATCTATTGTAATTTTTAGTTTTTGAAAATTCTCAGCAAAAGCAGTTGATGAAGTTTTCAATAGGGCTCGGTGGTCAATGAAATAGGCTATAAGCTATTACGTGAATTATTTAATGTTAAAAGTTGGAGTTTGATGCTATAGCTATTCAGGGACAATAAAAGGATTGATGTTATGCTGACAAATATAAGTTTGGTAATTATATTTTTCTATTTATAGAAATCAAACTACATCTAAAACATATTTGACATAAAGGACAGTATTACATTATAAAGCAGTCTCAAATTCAAAACCCGCATTTATTCTTGCAAATCCATTACCATTTATAAAAATGTCGTGCGTGATAAATTGCACGTTATTCGAAAAGTTTTATAAACAAGTGAGTTCGACCTGTTGCCCTAGAACTTGTACATATCCTCGTCACTCGAGACTTGTATGACAGTATGTCAGTGCCGTACGGCTCACAATAATATATTGATAGCCGTTAAAAGACCATTTAAGCAAAAACCTACTGGCTTCGTACATTTGTGTATAAAAGCGGTTCGTTTTATTTACACATTTATTTTAGACGCAAAATGTGTGATCTGAACGTTTAATTGACAAATGGTACTTGTATACTAAAAGTGCACTCGTGTTTTTAAATATGTGATTTAATAAAAAAGTAACTCCTTTTATAGCCATCCATTTTTTCGTCTCTAATATAACTCTATTGGAAATGTTAAACAATTTAATAAGTTTCGATACCATAAGTGAAACAAATCGATGAAGAACTCGATTCAATATTTTATAACTATTTTGATGTTGTTTTAATGCGATGCATAAAAAATCTGCTTTTGTTTTAATGCCCTAAAATTTTACTAATATCATAAATGAGAATGTATGTGTGTATGTGTGTTTGTTACTCTTTCCAGTCAATACTGCTGAAGAGATCGAGATGAAATTTAGAAAAGGGGTGGTATATAATCTGGAATAACACAGAGGTCACTTTTTATCCACGTGAGCGCGGGCGAAGCCGCTGGCAGAAGCTAGTAGTTCAAAAATCTCTTGTAAAACCAATGGCGAGTTAAATTCCCAATGTTAGTTTTCAATCGATAAAATAAAAGAAAAAATATCTTACCACAATAATATGTCTGTTCATCTTGTCTCCTGTAACTGATGATGTCCATAACAGGTACAAACACTATTTATATATTTACTTTACTCTGCAACAACAATAGGTTTCGCAATAAGTGATGACAATACATTTCAATGGACATCTTGCATTATCTTTCAGTTTTCCTGATCTTACTTAATTTATAATTAAAATGTATAATTGTATTAACATAATTACTATCTATATGATGTTTTTTTCTATACTTGAATGAGTTTGTAAATGCTTCCTGACTTCATTGATAGATTAGGATTAGTCATAGTGGATTGTTTGTGTATCAGAAGCGATTATGCATTACGCAAAGCATGGCATGGGTCGATAAGGAATAGGTTTTTTAGTTTGAAGTTAGTCAGTTATTATATGAAATGTTTATTTGGTTTATAATAATAAGTTAAACCTCTTTCATATTTTTTATGGGATAATCCGGGAACTGATCCGATGGATCACCTACCTATATATAGTACGCAATCGGCGTCGCCCATGGACACCTGGAGTTGGTACTCCAGGCGTTACAAGTGCGTTACCGGCCATTTGGGGATTAGGAATTTGACGACTGTTGGGGATTCGAAGATTAGGGAGATTGGAGAAGGGGGTAATTGGGCCTCCTGTAACCACACCCAAACAACGAAATACAACGCAAGGATTGTTGTCGAGCCGGTCTCATCGTGTCACACATTTTAAATAATAAGGTAAAATAATGATAATGTGTGCAGTGCACATTATATTATACAGTTCTATTTACCTACACTAACACTTTGGATCAATTTAGGAATACGTACACTTAAGCTATTTCTTAAAATTCAATACACAAACTTTGCCTGATTCGGGAATAAACTAGAAATTTTTTAGGCTTAACATTTGTAGCACTAAACCAACATGACAATCTATCATTAAGGTTATTCCTAATGATATTTTATTACTATATCTGTAATTTTCATGTCAGAGGTAATTAAGCTGGCCTAAATTGTCTAGATTAGTCCGATATCCATCATTAGTCTGTCCTGAAATCCATAGTATTACGAATAATGGTTTCAAGTTTTTAGGACACAATTTTAGTACAAAGTTGAGTATTTTCATTTCAGTGACCTGAAATAGTAGCTTCACTGTAATTAACGACCTACATGTATACAAGTAAATATTGTAAAGAATACTAAGAACCTTTAATAACTGATTCAGAAAATATAGGTGAAAATCTGTTAGACCCAAAACTATTTTCATCTGTCGATGTCACTATATCTTATTAATTTTGTTTTGTATCACTCGTACCTATATGTACTCGTATATCGTCATTATCAGATGTTGATTGATTATTTACTGAAAAGCCTCCTGGACCCTGGGCTTCCTAATATTTTATTTTAAAAATAGTGAGCATATTGCTGTTTATGTGTTTTTTAATTGAACTTATAATTATGATCCCCAACATTCCTCAAATTCCTAATCTCCAAAAGGCCGGTAACGCACTTGTAATGCCTCTGGTGTTCCAGGTGTGACACCGATTGCTTACCATCAGGTGATCCGTCTGATCGTTTACCGGCTAATCACATAAATAAATATGAAAGCAACAGCGTATTTCATTACCAATTCTACATTGATGTGCATTTTTTACAACGCATGGTTAAAACAACAAATTGTAAAAACAAAGGTGGTAAAAACTAAAGTTATATTTTCATAATATGTGAGTAAAATTAACGGTATGACATAATTTATAGGTAATGTTTCATGCATATATCGAAGGTTATGGTGGGAGACCTCCGCCGCGTCATCGAGCACGTAACCGATGGGAATTCGATTGTACACGACACTCAGTTTCTGGATCAAGGCTGTAAATACTTACCGATACATGGACATAAATAACTTAAGGCTTCGGATATACTAAGTTACTGGTTACTTCATTATTTATACAACGCATTGAAAGATATTAGAACGTTGAATAAATTTCAAAATCCATGAGTAAAATTTTGATTGTCGATTTTAATTATTATAAGCGAAGGTTTTGTATTTATTCTTCCTGAGACTTGTATATTATCTTCATTTTGAAACACGAATGCTGCACAAAATTGATACCATAATGACCCTAATATTCTAGTTATAAGCTCTGGAAAATGCAAACCTGTCTAAACTTTCTGAAAAGGAAAATGCGTGACAGAGCCCTCTATTAGTCATTTAACTAAACCTGAATAACTTATTAGGTAACAATAACGATGTGTTGTGGTAATTTATAGTGTGTACTATATATAAATCGTCTTGTGTGTATGTCCTGCTACATAAAGTCAATGTCGGGCTAATATGGTAGTAGTGCCGGTGATAATGCGGTCATGATCGATTTACTTAACATTGAACTATTATTTATTAGTACATACTTAGGTACACTCGGTGACAACAGACTTTTTGTCGCTTATTTTTATATTAATATTAGATTTCTTGGAAGTGAAAGTGTACTAGTATTTTTGAAGTTAACTTTGTTATATTTTATGACTTTTTCTGTTTTGTTTCAACTGAAATTAATTTTATATAAATCCCATGAGCTATAATAATACTATATTGTTATTGATTCGTCATCACCGAGTCTGAATTGAACTAAATTTTAACGCCTATTTTTTTAACACGACCATATCATATGTAACTTAATATTTAACTAGCTAAAGGTAGGGGCGACAATTTTCAACTTAAAATAATTGTAATTTAACCCCAACTTTTTTAGAAGTATATACAATTGAAATACAAACACAGTTAACACAAGCGCCGTTTTTTGTTAATCAATATATCATCATCGCCTGCAATCATGGTGAATTGTGGAAATCACAATTAATCATTGTGTTTCTAATTGCTTGTTCATTATCAATGGGAAACTTCATGTTTTTTCATTAAATTGTTTTAATGGATGAATACAAAATACAATATTATAATAATATTTAATTTTGTATGACCTCGTTGGCCGAGTGGTCGCAAGCGCGACTGCCGGGCAAGGGGTCTCGGGTTCGATTCCCAGGTCGGGCAAAGTATAAAAATCTCAGTAGTAGCACGGAGTCTGGAAATGTGCCCGGTATATGGCAATATACCGTGCACATTTCCAGTGATGTTATGTTATGTTAAATTTGAAGCAATTCGACTCAATTGCTTTAAAGCAATATTCCTTTCTATTATATAATAATAATAAGCAATATTAATGAAAGGAATATAACATATATTTAAATCCATACGAGAAAAGTATAAAGAAAATTATTTTAAAAGTGTTATTGTATTTTTAATATAAACTTTGTAAGTATTTCGTTTTAATTTAGATATTCTTCTTATACTAATAACATTGCTCATTGACACACTTTAACGTTAACTAGGTAATAACTACCAAAGTAATTAAACTTTGTAATTATAAAAAATCTGTATTTTCAAAGAAAAAAGTTTTGTATAAAATCTCTCTTGAAGTGTGACCAGCGATCTGGATAATTACATTGACAGAACAAGATAGTAATGATCTTGACCTAGATAAAATTAGCGTCTTAAAAAAAGTACTAAAAAGAATAAAATAGACTACATTTTTAGTTCAAATCCTAACTAATATTACTATAATGTGAAAGTCAGTTTGTTAGTTATCTCACTATGCTTTTTGGCTCAACTAATAATGATGAATTCAAGCGAGTAAAGTTGCGGATTAATGTTAGTATTTAATAATTTTAATCTTTTATTTATATGATGCAACACTTTTGTCTTATACAATGCTTTATAAATAACGATCGTAAGGAGAGATTAGACATGATGAATGAGCGTCTATGTCAGCTCATTGTCACATACACGTTAAATCTAGACTAGTCTAGGACTAAACATAGGTCACTCTCTTGTGTACTGTTATTATGAGAGTGCTTTACACTTGTGAATTAATTACAATTAATAATTGTAATTAAAGAGAGGTGTTTACAGGTATGGTAAAATATCTGTTATAATTATAATCATACATATAAAAATACATTTAGCTATATTAATGTAGTTTAACTCGTCGAGTACCGGTTTTATAGACACAATTAAAGAACAATAGGTCGCGGTCACCGGTGACCGCTTGGTGTTTGACAGTTTAATGAATATTTATCCATTGAAAATAATATTTGATTGCTCCGGTGGCCGAGTGGTTGCAATTGCGACTGCCGGGCAAGGGGTCTCGGGTTTGATTCCCGGGTCAGGCAAAGTATTACAGGGTTTTAAAAAAAAAATCTCAGTAGTAGCACGGAATCTGGAAATGTGCTCGGTATATGGCAATGGGCTCAACCCCTATTACATGGTCCTCATAAAATAATTAGTGAAAAGTGGGTGTTACATTGTACAGCGGCATAATGTGCACCTCTGCCTACCCCTTCGAGGATAATAGGCGTGATGTTATGTTGTTGAATAAATAACAAAATATTATTTAAATTCATTTTTAAACAATTAAATAACTCCTTCGCTGAAAACTGATAACCAATGTAAAATGTTCAATGGAATTTTAATTGACGGTTCAGCTACTATGTATTATTGGAAAACTTTATGGATAACAAACTATTTTTTCTCTCATTAAAATTATAGTTGCTTTTTATGAGTTCATGTATTAAGTTTTTAAAGTTCAAAATTGTATTTTATATTATTATTGAAAATTCATAATAAACCTTTTCGAATAATAAAAAGAGAAATGATATTATTATTATTTAAAAAAAACGTTACCCCACACTAGGATTTTTTCCTCTCTTGTGTCGTGGGTGCGTTTACAAACATACACATACACATGACATCCAGATCCGAAACAACAATTTGTGGATCACACTAAGTGTTGTTCTGTGTGAGAATCGAACCCGCGGCACGCTGCACAGCTGCCAGTTACCCAGCCACCGCACCAACCGTGCAGTCATTATTATGTTGTGTTGTATTATTATGTTGTCTGTTCGCCAGTTTTTTCCCTTAAAATATTTCATATCTAGGCATAAATCATCTTATCCAGAAATAATATTACAGTACTTACGTGTTTATATTGCTGTTTTTTTCTTTTTTTACAAACATTGCTCTCAGCTTATGAAATCATTATAAATACTTAAAAGCTACTTTAAAATTATTTTATATTATAATAAAACCCACGATCGAGGCATAAAGATCATTGGATGTGTATATATCTACTTCATATCTAAAATATAACTGGAGAATGAAACCCATGTAATATGGGATGCGCATGGGCAAAGGAGACGCTGTGATGGATCAACGGTGCGTGCGCAACTATAGGTGCGTGGTACACTGAGGTGAGGGGGTAGCCGAATGATGGGTAGATCACTATGGGTGTTGGTGCTGACTGCACTGCTGCTAACAGACACAGGATCGTTATCTGGAAAGTGAAAAGTCGAGATAATGATAGGGGAGATAAAAAAATGATGAAATAAAAAGAGACGGTATAAGACTTGTGATAATGTAGTAACTTGACAAGATATAATTATCATCAGACTGTCTCATTGGCATTACATTGTAATGTACGACTGCCGGGCAAGGGTTCAATCTTGTTCGATTTCCGGGTCGGTCAAAGTATTACTTACTTTTTACCCGGAAATCGAGGTTTTTTTTTTTAAATTTCTCAGTAGTAGCATGGAATGTGCCTTGTATATGGCAATAGGTTCACCCCCTATTCAATTATGACAATTCTGTAATGTAACTCGCACTATCTAGTAGTTTCTAGGAAACCTTCATAATATATACATACATACATAACCTGTCTGTCTCGATCCCAGAGAGGTAGGCAAAGACTATGGAACACTTGAAACTTATGGAAAACTTCATAATTTCCATAAAATTAGACTAGATTATAGACCATATATTATTTAACTACATTTATTATGTCCAAAATACTAGGTAACTTAAACTATTTAGTACTTACATAATTTAATCTACCCAATTTAGGGTTACACTTCCAGCCACACATAGGGAATAATCTAGTCTCTAACTTGACCTAAAACTTTCACCTGACTGCCCATTTTAACCCTCACATAATATAAAGGTCAAAGACCTTAAAATCCAATATCAATTTGAAAACACTCACCAATCGATACATTGCTGTTTCCTCTAAATATCCGGATCGCGGTCACCTCGGCTATCAACTGCGACATCCGTACTATTCCCTTTTATTTATACGAGTTGAAGTTTACTTTAGCCAATTTTATTCATCTCTAAATGGTAGTGAATGTGCCTACTATGGTCATGATGAAACCTAGAAATGTATTGCAGTCCGTACAACCATTTTTATAGTGCTTGAAGATGTAGTTAGTATGTTTCTGAGAAGTTTATTTGTTGCCGTGGCAGAGAGTTTTGAGTTCATTTTTGATAAGCGTGCGATGCGTTACCGGTCTTTTGGGAATTGGGAATTCGAGGATTGTGGGAAATTCGGGGCTTCGGGAAACCGGGGAGGGGGGTAATTAGGTCTCCAATAACCTCACACTCACGACGAACTATAACGCACGCTATGTTTCACGTCGGTTTTCTAAGAGGCCATGGTATCACTCCGGTCGAGCCGGCCCATTCATGCTGAAGAATGATCCTCTGATACTTGAATTCAGTTGCACATTGAAATTCTATTCAGTTCTTGGTAAGGATAAACAAGGTTTAAGCGATTTAAAAAATTATACATTGATATCATGAAGATAATATCATTGGTCTAACAATTTGAGACAAGTGAATTTATTTGCAAACGGCGTACAAAACACCTTTATAAGTATTTTCTTTAAATCTAAATGAGGCTATTGGCAAAGCCTCAAACTTATGAGTTGAGTTTTGTATATCAAAGACAAGAGTATTATTAATATTTACTATTAAACGCCGACACTATAAATTATTAAACTCAGACACTATAAATGGTTAACATTCTACATTATAACCAGTCGTCCATCATATAAATATTTGAATCCGTAACTATGGGTATCCCGCTGCGTTACTCGCATAGCTATCCAACGTAGAGTATTTTAATAAACAAAGGTATTATGAATACTTAGAGTGTAGCTATTACATAATCTTCCAAACTCAAAGTCAAAATAATTTATTTCAATTAGACCAGGGAGGCACTTTTGAACGTCAGTAAAATTTTAAAATTGAAGCTATGTGCTCATTCCAAGGTGTAGATTCCTATGGAGAAGAACTAGCAAGTAACTCCATAGGTTACACTTTTTCAATTAGATTCATAATACAGAACGATGTAGAAGGCTCCACACTAGTTATTTTAAAACTTATTAGTACAAGGATAACCCTAATTAAGAAATACTAAGAATAAATAAAATTAAAATTAATCGTTATTCTTATAATGTATCTTCTCTCAGTTTATTCAGTTTAACATTTGATTTTAATTGAGTGCAAGTACCGAAATCTTTGTTGACATTGAAAAATGTATTCAAATTGTGAATTTTCTCATGCATGTCATTATTTTATTTCAGTTTAATGTAGTTTTTATAAAAATATTGTTTGTCAACTTTATAGTGTCAACGAACTTTATGATGTGCTCTGCACTCTAGAGTTCAGTAAAATACCTCTAAATTTATAGTTTACTTACGGTACATTATTTTTCACCCATTATAACTAGCTTATACAATTCCGTACTTCATACTTCCATTACATAAAAGAATAATAGTAAAAACCCTATAAAGTTTGCGGCACTAAAATAAACCTCTAAATTATAATTTAACTACTCTATGATAATTAAAACTATATAAATATTTCCGAGTAACATCAGGAACATTAGCACGCGCCGAGAAACGGTTCAAATATGGTAGATAACTAGTTTACTACGAATACTACTATAAATAATTCACTCTCGTTTGTACACACGCACATCAAACTATACATTACCAGTTTATCACGGTCTGGTTCTGTATGCTATTTCTGCACTTTCAACGGTCAACTTATACTGGTCGCGTAACTTTATGTGTAGCTGTCTGTACTACTTGATGTACGGCTGCCACTTATACGTATTTACGAGTATTTTTTCCTTATGTTGTGCAAAAGTGCAAGAGGTATCGTAATTCTGCATTTTGATATTAATGAGGCGTTAATATTTTTATGGACGGTAATTTATTGCAGTCGATGTCATTAATAACTGCTTGAAGTGCAATATATTCAGTAGAAAAGTTATGAACAGTAGTAAGTGTTTAAAAAGAATCATATAGCTTGAAGTGAAAAAAGTTACGGCCTTTAAAATAGATAACACGCTGATTTACAACAAAGTTATCATTTAAGTTGCTTCTATGCAAAGTTAATGATTCATCAGCAAAACAATTACATATTTTTTCTAAAATATTAATATAGAGTATGAAACGTAGGTAAGTACACCTGTCATAATAAAACAAAAAGATAAATTATAAAAATATTTTTAATATATTTTTAAATAATCTCTAATCCTTCACTGAAGGAAATCAAATCAATGGTGGACAGCGATGAGGGGAACAGCCTTGACGACATGACCGTGGTGGACGACGGAGCTGGAGTGAGCCACGGCGGAGGGAGCGGTCTTCACGATCACGGGGGCGGCGTGGACAATGGGGGCAGCGTGGACAGCGTGGACCACGGGGGCGGCGTGGACGACGGGAGCGGCATGGACAGCGTGGACTACAGGGGCGGCGTGGACCACAGGAGCGGCGTGCACGGTCTTAATCACCACAGGGGATGAAGCGATCACTGGAGTGTGCACAGCGTGGACAGCGTGGACGGCGTGCACGGGGGAGCCATGGTTCACCACCTGGCTGGACTTGGTGATGGTGGTCTTGGAACCGACTACGGGAACAGAGTGAACCACTGGGGTGTGGACAGCAACCACGGGCTCATGAGCCACCAGGACTCCTGGGGCAGCGGCGGCGCAAGCCAAGATGGCGGCGAAAGCAACCTGAGAAGAAAATGAAAAATTTATAAACTAATAATACTAGATGAAATAATTTAAAATTTCCTGAAGATAATCTTTAACACTTACAAAGGATTTCATGGTTAAAGAGGTAGTTGTTGATACGACTGGACTGCCGAATAATCTAACGAACTGCTGGCCCACTGGCGCTTATATACCACGCAGCCAAATATCGACAATGAGTGCGCAATGAACTTGAGGCTGTATAAATTATAGAGCTTTGTGGAGGAGGCAAAGTTGAAAGACGTAGTAGGCGCTTACGTACTATGGTAGTAAGCTTGTTTGTTTTGTGAATGAAATTGTAAGGTAGTAAAAAAACATGTTACGGAAAACGTTTAATCGCTAACAAAAACTTTAGTAATGTAAATTCCGCGTGTAAATAAAATAGAATTTTATAAAGCTTTCGTCTGCACTTGCAAAAAAGGAATATTTGTTAAAATGAATTTCAAACTAAAAAGCAATGCGGCATCTAAAGGGCTAAAACTGGTTTGCTGTTTTGCTTTTCTGCTCTATCTAATCGACCAATCACATATTTTATCATCTCAATATTACACCTTATGTCAATAGCAAATGAGATCCTAATTGAATAATTTCATATGAATGCAAATTTCAATGTGACTACTGTGCAAGTACATGCCGTATCCACTTTCACTGACTACATCTGGCCCCCATCGAACTTGTCGAGATTAATGAATGCATAAACACAAACATTGACACTGTATTTAGATTGATGCCAAGTTCATTCGTTCTCGAAGGACTTATGTAATGCTGGACTACTTATGAACTTCATATGGCTGGGTGTCGCATGTAGCTCTTACATTTTATGTGATGCAATTTCGGTGACTTATGGATCTTTTGAACTAGGATGGTATTCTTCTAGTAACTTTTTTACCACGGATTTCTTATTAATTTCATTACTTAGCTTTTGTAGGATGCAAGGTTTGCCATCAAAAGCTTTATCTCTATCATTCAGTTTTTTATCATTTACTTAAAATTTTTGGTAACTTTATTATTGTAAGTCTTTCATATGCCAAAAACGGAGGACTATTTCGCTAATTGTATTCACTTAAACTGTCACCTGTGATGGTTTAATCTGAATTTATTTTTATTGAAATAAAGTACACCGACGACGGTTTTGGTAGTATGGGAACATTTATGTAGGTACAATATGATATATAAGGTCCAGAAGCAGATTATCATCAACAATTTTTTCATGCAACCAATCAGAGAATGCATTAAAAAGACCATCTGCGAATGGTGACAAATAAATAAACGTGGAATTATTATTAAAACAGATTAATGTTTGTTTTGAAGTGCAAGAAAAATGGTGTCCCATTTTGGGTTGATGAGACCTATAAAAACTTCACAACTGTGTTGAGGTCACCAATAAAGCCACAACAGATGTAGCTGGAATCATTATTTTCATTAATCCACTCTCGTCAAATTAAGGAGCTTTAAAATGCGTAGTAAATTAAAATTAAACATTAATGAACTACGTGAAGTTATGTGATTAATTTGCTCAATATCATGGAGGTGTTCCCAAAATTATACAATGCCAATTAATAACGTTTTAAAGGTGTTAAAATTAAGTCGCTGTTTAATTGCTTACAAAATGCTATTCGATTTACTTTCAACTGGAATTAAATAAAAGGGACTTTCAATGTATGCAATGGGACCATCGATCATTACTATAGAGGGCGTTTGAATTTTGGGAGTCAAATAAGTGGTAATCGTGAGATTTTTGCTATTAATTATTGTATTAAAATCCTTATATTTTTTCTTAATTCATTTCAAAGCTTAGACTCTTCTGTATCAGTAGTTCCCTGTACCCATGTCTTCAAGTGATACATTCGAAAACTTTTGTTTTGTCCGGATTAAACACTAGTCTGAGATGTTTAGATATGAGCAGTAAATCAGTTGAGTTCGTCTAGTCTAGACTCTGGAGCAATGTTGTTAGATCCTGTAAAATTAATGGCGCGTCTAATTTTTAGTTCTCGGTTCAGAACGATAGGGATATTTATTGCCATTCTTCTTAATGAATTTGTTTCGTCTTCTTGTAAGTAGTTGCTGCTAGTTGTTGGTTTAAGTTTGGTTAGTTTTATCTCCTCTTTGCTTGAAGTTGTTGCTATTTATTTTTGAGCGTTTGGAGACAGAAAGTAGCTTGTACTGATTTACTTTTTATTCTGTATTTTTTGGAAGGTTTTAAAGCAGCAGAAGACACCATTAGTGCCTATTGCATATAGAATGAAAATTATCAGAATTATCTTTTTCGTGCCAATTAGCTGGTTCCTATATCTTCCGACAAATATTTTTTTTAATATAATTGATTTACATCTCTTAGGTAAGCCAAATGCACTTATTACCTATTTCATTTCACGTTGTCATTGCAAAACAAATTCTTTATACATGTTTTTAAGAAAATAAAGAGCGATTTTTGCACAACGTGATTGATAAGCTGTAACTACAGTAATGTGTACGATGGCTATCAGACGGACAGCACTATTTTGGCTCATGCAAGAGTATGCGTGTATCTGATGCGGTCGTAGTATGTTGTAATGTTTTACAAGCCAGACTGAGGGGAAATTTTGGGACATTTAAAGTAATGGACTTATTCGGTGTTACAATGTAATGTACCGTTATGTTTGGTACTTTTCTCAAAGAGGCAGGCAGTACAATTGCCTCAGTGCTACATGGAAAAGCCATTAAGATGCAACGCATAGAATTCGCACTGCGTTCATCGTCTGAGTCTAAGATTAAAAATGGAACTATTAATGTATTTGACAGATTTGTGAAACTTGAGGATGTTGTTACATCATTTACATTGGGCCATAAAACCAATCTTGATTTGCAGGAAATCGAATCTGATGGATATGTAGATAGTACTTCCACCGTCGTCTATAAATCATGCATCAAATAAACTTGCGTCTCGATTCCACTATCTTTTATGGCCAACTCAAGGTCAATCAAACGTCAATTTTAAATTCAATGATTACTTTTACTTGACAGCAAACTATGAATATTAAGAAGTATATTTTTTTGTCTGGTTGTACGTTTCAAGGGAGTCAAACCAAGGCCATCTTATGTTTTAAATAATTTGAGGTCGAAATAGCAATTTTGTTTTAACACTGAGTGTGTGCGAAATTAATTACTGCAACGTAGTTGTTTTACAGCTAGAGGTCGATTTGACAACATCTTTGTCTTTTAACAAAATGCCACGCCCACTTATTCCCTGACGAGTTAGGCAGCATATAGGTACTACCTAAATATAATTTCAAATAGGCCCATGTACAAAAAGTATGTCATATATAACACAACACAAGTAGTATGTTATAGAAGCCGTGATTCCGGGGATCGATTTCATGACCCGGAAATCTTACACTATTCGACAAACAATAGAATCAATACCAGGAATCGAATCCGAGACCCCTTGCCAGGCAATCAGCACTTGCGACCACTCGGCCAACGAGGCAGTGGTGTTATATAACTTGTATATTATGTCGTGGGACGATATTTAAAACTTTATTTGACTAAACATGATTGATTATAATCTAAACAACTGACTTATTTGCTGGTTCGTTGCTTAAATACTTGAAGATATACTATAAAAGAACCTCCTTTTTTGAAGTCGGTTAAAAAGCCGGAGTTTTTTTTAACAAAAATTCAGAAGAAAATTTGTTCATACAAAAGTAGGCTCTAAAAATCGGAAATAAGGTCTTTAATGAAATGAGTGGAGAGCGGTTACCGGTGATTGCTCAGTATTAATCAGACTTGGATAGAGACAAACGAGCTGATGGATTACAATACATAGTGGTATGCAATCATTTCTGGCCGTGGACATTGACAGTATGGGCACCAATAACACGAGGAGAATCACAAGTGCGTTGTCCGCATAAGAGATGATATAGAGACCGGGCTTCCTACTAAAAGTTTAAAAAAAATCCGGGGTTCTATGTGGTTACCAATACAACAATCGATCATCGGTTTCCACCTTAACATATTGTTGTAAAGAAACTATAAATTTACGTAAAGCCAAGCTTTATTGTTACGTAAACTCTAAGTGTGTCGCGATTCATCACGTCCCGAGATTAACTACACTAAATTAATCACCGTGTAATTAATATGATGTTGATGATACTCACCATAAAAGTATGGAAGAAGTTCCATTCATTATTAAGACCAGTATATGAATGAAAATCTACTGACATACATCGTATATAATTATCTAGAAGGCAGTAGTACTTTGAACTTAATTAAATAAACATTATGATTCCATACATTATCAACATAAATCAAATGCGTTCCTGCTGTCTCTCTCTCGCTCTTTGACCAAAATGCAACTCAAAATATAAAATATATGATTCGTAGCGCAAGTACTTTATTATCTGAAGCGTCAATTCTATGTTGGATACATTAGTCGTCCTTCTGACTACAGTTTTATCTCGTAGTACGGCAGCGTGCGCTCGCGCCGTTTCGTAACACCTTCTTTGAATGTCAAGTTCATGCACGCTGGGTATAATATATATTTTTACAACCTTTTGATGTATTGTTGTTACATTTTCAAGGATGGTTTTCATAATTATATTTTATTTTATTTTGCGATAGGATCAAAGGTTTTGTCAGTTACTAATTTTACCAAGTTTTAAATTAATTAATTATTCTTATACTGAAGTAATTTTTTTATCACTATATTTTACATATAACTTTTGTGTATCTTGCTAATATTGTAAATACAAAAGTTTATATGTTTGTTGGTTTGTTTGTTACTCCGTCACGTCAAAATGACTGGAGGGATCGGGATGAAATTTGGAACAAGTCTTGAATAACATATAGATAGGCCACATTTTATCTCACGAGAACGCTACCGAAGCCACTGACAGAAACGAGTATTGTATAAAACCAACTCGGTTTTTTGCTCATTAATTGATAGAACTGTCACCTCGTCATAATTAAAAATAAGTTAACATAAACACATCATAACATCACGCCTTTTATCCCCGAAGGGGTAAGCAGAGGTGCACATTATGTCACTGTACTATGTAACATCCACTTTTCATTATTTATGTTACGAGTCCCATGTAATAGGGGGTGACCCTATTGCCATATACCGGGCACAATTCCCGACTCCGTGCTACTACTGAGATTTTTTTTAAAACCTAGTACTTAATACTTTTCCCGACCCGGGAATCGAACTCAAGACTTTTTGCCAGGCAGTCGCACTTGCGACCACTCGGTCAATAAGGCAGTTATTTTTATTATGGATATTAAATTACTCGCAGTAGGTGTTGGCAATTGCGTAGATACTAATTACATCTTTCACCGTTAGGTATATTACTTCAGTCAGTCAACAGCCGTTGTTATCTGATCCACTATTTCTAACAGTTCCTTACAAAGCTTTGCAACACAACCTTGAGGAGATCAGACAATAATTTGATACTATTTCTTAATAATAGTGACATGCAAGCGGACAATTAGCTTAGTTTAATGTTCCAAGGACTTGATGAAGTAACATAATCAAAGTTATATTGCATCAAAAATATGCAATGTGTTGTTTAAAATGATTAATGAAAGGAAGTCAACCATTAGATTTGGATAGATGATGGGGACTAGATAAGCAACGCTTAATGTATATATTAGGTCTATAAGATCAAGATAAAATGGTACTAGAATGATTGATTAAAAGACTTCAAAAAAATAATTAAAACAGTAGCTACTGAGTCTATGATTGATACTATACTCTTCAGAAATGACAATTAAATAGGTACTGCAAAGTAATTTTCTTAAAAAAATAATAACATCACGCCTTTTATCCCCGAGGTACTCATAAACGGCACTTAATGCCACTGTAATGTAACACCCATTTTTCACTATTTATTTTATTTGAGTCCCAAGTAATAGGGGGTGAGCTTATTGCCATATACAGGGCACAATTCTAAACTCCGTGCTACTGAGATTTAAAAAAAAAACAGTAATATTTGGCTCTACCCGGTAATCGAACCCGAGACCGCTTGCCCGGGCGGCAGCCGCATTTGCGCCCACTTGGCCAATGAGGAAGTTATAACATTAATAAGAATTAACACGTCGAGTACCGGTTTTATAGACACAATTAAAGAACAATAGGTCGCGGTCACCGGTGACCGCTTGGTGTTTGACAGTTTAATGGTAATATTTGACTCAGAAATTGATTGAGTTCATAAAGAATAGTAATTCCCTATTAACAGCTAAAACTAGAGACAGAGACTGATTCATCAACTTTTAACTCCGTGGATTCAACCTTTCACACTGATTGCTTGAGGTCAACGCACTTGTATTCTTTATATTAATAGATGGTAATTCGTTTTAATCACTTACAGTCGCACATCATAGCTTTTGTTTGTATATCATGATTTATTTGCTTAGGAAATGGAGCAGAGGCTGTGTAGCTGAAGACGTTCGCCGTACATTTTCTTTGATTTGTAAGGGGAAGGGCATAAATTACGGCGGTTAACGACATTAAAATTATTATGTAGGTAATTTAATTAGTTTTTCTGGTTGTTTGTTGAAATGATTTAGTTGAACTAATTCTAGATCTGTTTAGTTGTATTTGTATTTAGGTACTGAATACAACTTTGCTATGATAATAAGTCTATAGGGCATGAACATGATGGGTAACTTTAAGATGTAGAGAACTCTTTTGCAAAATGCACAACTAAGTTAATCGTATTTTTATAAACTTTTTTTAAAGCCAGTTAATCTTCATCAGTCATCTTAAACATAATGTTGACTCTACCCAGAACATTTTTGGTCTATTATGTAACTTTGTTATGCACAACGTCTTTGGTTCGATACCCGGGTTAGATTCTATTGGGTTTTTAGATATCAAAATTTTCCATATACCCTTGTAATGTAAAATATTCAAAAAGTTACTTCGTTACTAGTTTTGGAAACTAGTTTTAAACTTGGCTAGCTTCTGAGAGTTTTAACAACTTTTCATTCAAGACTACTTTTATATAACACTCAAATATCCATGACAAATGTAGGAAAATAATAATAAACTTATTATTATTTGTTGACTAAGTAAAAAAACAATTTAGAAATAAAACAAATCTTTATTCAAACAAAACAATGACAAAACGAATTATTAATGATGATAAGTGACTAGACTAGACTTCACAACTGGCACAGTTTCGTGGACAGTGGAACTGTGGTGAGTCACTGCGGAGTCGCCAGTCTTGAGGGTCACCAGTGGTGAGGAGTGGTAGACCACGGGATGAGACACGGAGACCACAGGAGCATGGACCACGGGAGTATGAATCACGGGAGCATGGAACACAGCAGTACCACCATGGTTCACAACCTGGTTGCTCTTGGTGACAGTAGTTTTCGGCACATGGTAGACTTCATGGACAGGCATGACACTGATGGAGTGCACTGGATGGACGTAAGCGCCGCCGTGGCTGACAACTTGGTTGGACTTCGTGATGGTGGTTTTAGCATGGACGACAGGGATAGTGTGGATGGTCTCAACTGGGTGCAAGACGTGGGTGCTTCCATGGTTGACGACCTGGCTGCTCTGGGTGAAAGTAGACTTGCTTGGCAAGGTGTGGACTACATGAGCCTCTTCAGCTAGGAGGTAGGCTGGAGCAGCAGCTCCGCAAGCCAGGATAGCGCTGATGATGATCTAGAAATGAAAGAAATAAAAAGTTTACTCAGTTTTTAAACAAAATCCAAGAATATTTTTGATGCACATGCAACCGATTATATTCGGCTTTTTATTTAAATCACAAACGCATTATTCACATTGTCCCCATCGCACTCAACACATTAATCACTCCCAAACACTTTCTCTCGCCACTTACAATAGTCTGCATTGTCGAAGTCTCAGGTGCAACTGATGGTAGTCCTCTAGAGAACCACCCTTTTATACCGAACATATAATTATTGATTGGCCCAGATTGCGACAATTATTCATGTACTTGAATTTTTTGGTCTTATTTCGCGAATAAAAAGGAGGGATGTTGCGAAAGAGTCGGTTCGTGCTCAGATCTGTCAGTTTGTGATTAGCAAATTAATTAGTGTAGTTGTTATTTGAAGAGTTGTCGGTCCATTAAGCAGTAGATACTAGCGAGATAAGCTTGTATGGTGACTTGGAGTACAGTGTCATGTAGTATGAAGCTCATTGATGTCGCCGAACAAAAATTTACACTTAGTAATTGATTTGTAACTTGTGCTAACAAATATGTTTTATTGTTTGCTTTGGAAATTCACACCTTAGCAAGGTGTGAATAATACAAATAACTACATTCTTATCTATGCGCGAGATTTAGATTTTTATCTATCAAGTTTTCATGAACTTCACTCTAAGTGAATAATGTACCGCTTTTAGTGGTATAGGTATTACGTGGTAGGATACAAATGATCAGTTTCTCCATCAATGTCGCCAGGTGACAGAGGTACCCTCGTCAAAACTGTCCAGAGGGCATTAGCAACATATCATCATAGTACCTATGAAGTGGTGCGCTAATGATATTTGGTTATTAAAATCGATTTTGTAATCGAGATTATATGAAGATTATCCTTTGTTAATTATGTGATTTTGATATTTTCCATGATTTTTGTTTATGTCAATAATTATGGTAATATTCTAAGTGTAAATTTCTCCGTGTTTGAGTTCAAATACCAAGGCAAAACTTTTTGATATCGACATTCTTTGAATGAAAACGAGAATTACTAATACCTGGAGAGGTCACTGAACTTAACCCATATTTTCATTCACGAGTAATTAAATCCTGTTGTTCTCCATAAAATGGTCCTTAGCAAATGAAAAAAGAATTAATGAAAGAAAAACAAAGTCATATTTTAGTACTCAGCGTGACGTCACTAAGTGGTTCCATGTAGAAATAGAAACACCAGGAAATCATAGGTTAGCAGTAATTAATTGTCCAGTAAACAAAGCTTTTAGGACACACGTTACGCTGAACAGCCCCAGTGTAAGCTGAATCTCGAATGTGTAGAAAGATTATACAAAGCAAGATCATGATAACCTGGTTTGTTTAGCTCGATGTGTTGCCGTCTGTATGTTCATATTTCCATAGGAATGTCCATTTTCATCGTTTAACTAGAGCCAACATAGGAAATAAGGCAATACGGACCAATTTCCGACTCGCAGAGATAGAACTTTCTAGACAGACTTCACTGTAGTTCTAGGCTATAATTTATATAGTGTTTGCATTTGTGTGTTGTGGTAGATATATTCATTCTGTCCTATTGTAAGATATAGATTGATATACCTACATATTTATCTAATATCTTAATTTAAATATATAAAAATATATTCTTTAATTTTTGTACTACATTTTACATTGTCATATTAATATTATTGTGTAAAACTTAGGTTGAAAACTGACATTATAATTGTCTATATCACATTATATCCACTATTATATACTCTCACGCGGTTTCACGCGCTCTGCTCCGCTCCTATTGATCGTAGCGTGATATTTTTATATATATAGCCTTCATCGATAAATGGACTATTGCACACAAAACAAAATATTCGATTTGGTCCAGTTGTTGTATAGATTAGCGCGGTCCTTCAAACTCTTCAGTTTAATAAATATCAGTATAAGATTTAAAATATGTTTAAGCTGTAACAAAGCATATTTTGTAACCACATTTTACCCAACCCGGGCACTTTTCGAGTCTTGCCCACCATATTTGTAAAGTCATAGTTTGCAAAACAGAATTAGATGTAACTAATAACTGCAGACCTTTATAAGGAACCGTTGCAACAATAGCTCCGTAGGTCGCTGACCTTCGCCTGATTGCACTATTCAATAAAGATATCATACAATGTACATAGTTAAATAGTTTGTTGTTTATGCAATATTTTGTAGGGCTTAGGGGTCATTTTATTGAATGGTATCGTTATAAAAATGAATGTATATTATGTATAATACGTTCGCAAAACTAATGAAAAACAACTTGCGCTGTGTTTCGCTATGCGAGTGAGGTTACCCGAGTTCCAATCTTCTTTCACATTCCCAATTACAAATCCACAAATTATCAATATTCTAAAAGCCGCCATCGCTTTTGAATCTTTTCTAGTGTTACGGCTGTCGATGGCCGGCTCTGACCACTTACCACCAGGGGATTTTTTTTTAAGGGGGGAAAATCATCTAATGACTGCTCCAGCCTGGGTGAGGCGGGAGGGAGTGTCAGACTCTTACTGACTAAAAACCACCCCGTTCCTTCTCCTGCACGTCGAGCCGGAGCCCCGGTTGCCCGTTAGGTTCTCCGCGACACCACCAGGGGATACGTATGCTCTTTTGTCCTCATTTCTAAAAAGAAGTCGCTAAATATGCTTACCTAAGTTCCTTCTACAAATTATATTGAGCAATGATTATGATATTTAAACCTTGATGAGTGGTCAGTATAATTGCCGATTACTCAAATTAATAGTTACAAAAAATAAGCAATCAAACCATTGTCAATAACTATTTGCCTATTTGTCCAATGAACTGCGAATAGACGTAACGACAGAACTACGAAACTTTATGCAGCTTCATGTATATAATTTTATTCAAGAATTAAAACATCACATAAACACAAAATCTACATAGTAAATTGAACTATATTTCGTTAATAGTAGACTTAATTTCCATTGCGAGATGAGTGATACTTACGTGTAATTTGTTGACCTCATGCGCTACTGCGCACTTAACTTACTAGTTACAGTACCTATCTAAAGAAATTATCGAAACATTTCTTAATTCAAAGCCTACTTAATTTATAGGCACATAAATCATTACTTTTTTCTTAAAAGTGCACTGCGAACTTTGGCTTTATGGTGGCAATAAGAATTTTAATACTCGTAAATTGAGTTTTGTAGTTTAATTAAAAGCATATTGAGAGTAAAGGTCTACAAAATGATTTAATGTTTAAATAAAGTATTGATTGGGCTTGCATAACGTTTATGGAGTATTGGAACTTTGGGAGGGCGATCTTATCTGAGGAGATAGACCTCCCGCATAGACCGCTGCAATCAACTCTTCGAGAGATAGCGGCGGCGGTATCTTGTACTTGATAGATACTTGAGTAAAGCTATCAATATCGGTCCATTGCTCTTCTATTGGCTTTATTACATTTCTACCCAATATTATGAATGAGACAGTACGTTCGTTTGTTTGTTTATGAGCTCATAAAGCTTCATCTACTTATCCAATCAATCTCCTTAAAGTTTCAGATAGCCATAGTTTGAATATGTAGGCATAGTAATGATTTAAGCTACTTTTCTTGGGACATAGGTACCGTAGATTTAAGATTCTATAGACACTTTTGTAATATGCTATATCCTACTTCCTACTAATAATATAAATGCAGTAGATTGTGAGGATGTATATGTGTGTGTGTTTGATTGGTCTCTTTCTCACCAAGAAGAAATCTGGTTCAGGGATAGATTTTGGTTTGGAATAACGCATAGACTGAGACTACTTTTATTCCACGAGGACGCGGGCGAAGCATAGGGCAGAAGGTATTGTACCACAATTTACAAAAATTGAAATAGAATTACCCCTACCCAATTTATATTCCTATTATATAACTGTTGCCTTTACCTTTATTTCCTAGTTCAGAAGATTCAATTTTGCTAAACTCAATAACGAGGTACAATGGCATGTTCACAGCCCATTCATGATATGAAACATTAAAACCGTGTGATTAATTCGACACCCATTTGTCTGTTATTAAAATAATTTTAAGATTGAAGATAGGACAAGTATGGAATAATGAGCGATTTTAAAATAATTTACCGTGGCGCCTCTCGTCTTAAAAGCTGTCCAACCTTTAAAGTACAGATAGTACCATCTGTCAAATTTCGATTATATTACAAAAGCTTTAAAGTTGAATTTCTCTAAGTAATTTGGTTGAGCTTGAAGTGCCGGTGTCTCTACCAACTGATTGACGGGTTACCAATGTCGGCAGACTCCATAAAACGTAGAATGAAAACGTTTAGAAGTTATGGGTTCCCCGACATTGAGGCGTAAAACGAAAATATTGCATATTAAAACGATATTACCCCTACTGGTGAATCTACGAATGTAAAAATAGCTCCGTGTAATTTTGGGACTCACGTTAAGATATATAATTCTTATTGCGAACACTTAAATAATAGTAGTGACTGTTATTCGAATTATAAAGATGTCTAGTCTAGTTCATAAAAGTGACAATAAAAAACAATATGTTCTCAATATGGCGTCTGACATCGTATGAATTCGCGTGACCACAGTTATGTGGCCCTCCTTTAATAGTTGTAATTTATTCATGGGCACTTGTAATACATCGGTTTTATCATCAAACTAGTAGCAACAACATAATCATACAGCTTGTTTACCGAACTCAATCTTGAGGAAAGTATATCAATCCTGTCAAAAATACTTCAATAATTTGCCGTTTTAAAAGTAATGAGTTCAAAAATATATATCTTATGGCGTTGTAATAAGAATTATACATTGAATAGTCGCCGACATGGCTTAGATTGTATTCCGTGCACTATAATTATGTAATTTTAACATTTTATGTCAATGTCGTCACGGCAGCCATATTTGTAATGGCGCCAATTTTGACAGATCGAACGCGCCAAAAATGCAGTTTTTAAGCGATAAGCAGTGATGGTAAATTAACAGTTTAAATATAATTATATTGATTTACGTATATAAAAACGTGAGCAATTAATAATCTATATATATAAAATTCAAAGGTGATTGACTGACTGACTGACTGACATAGTGATCTATCAACGCACAGCCCAAACCGCTGGACAGATTGGGCTAAAATTTGGCATACAGATAGATGGTATGACGTAGGCATCCGCTAAGAAAGGATATTGATAATTTCCACCCCCAAGGGGGTAAAAAAGGGGATGAAAGTTTGTATG